TTTCAAGTAAAAAGGGTTCTTTTCATTTAGAATAAAAATTAAAATATAACTCTGATATAGATTTTCATTTATTTACATGAAAACATATATACAGAATACAATCATACAGCAAACTAATAACATGCCCTTTGTCCTGCAAATTTTAAAAGTAAAAACACCAATTTTCTCCTTTTATGCACCAAAACATACACAAGATATGAATCAAATTTTAATACAAACTATTCAAACTGGAATGCAAAACAGTAAAAGGGAATTCAACGCTCATGACTAGGGGTACTTTATGCTTCTAGATACCATGCTAGCTCCCATTTTGAATAAGAAATGAAATAATCACTTTTTTTCTGTCATTTAAAAATTTGTCTTATGTTTCCCATCATATGGTGATTTTCAGCAAACGAGTGTCCTAGAACTTCACGTTTTCTTCTATGTGTCTCTTTGGCCTTACTCTGCCTTGGTTACAGGACATCACTTAGACACTCACTGTTGCCAAAACTCACTCATTTAAAACAAAGTCAGTAAGATGGAAAGATGATAGCCCAGGAAATCATTTGCATTATTATTTTTCATTTAAAAAAAGGAAAAGTTTAACTCAACCCAAGGCAGCACCATGTGTCAGCAATTGTAATTTTTAAGTAAATTAAGTGGCCAAATATAGCACAATTTGTTTTTTATCATATCAGGTTTTGGATAGAAAACAACTCTAGCCATAAAACCTATGAGAGTCAATCCATTTTAAAGTTCAAATGAGTTAAGAAAAAGAGTGAAAACCTTTTATTAGAAAAGTACAGTGAACAATGAAGAGAATCACTAAATTCTAATAGTTGTCAATGTAACTTTCCCTTGCTATTTAATCATTGCACCAAAGAGACAAGGTGAGTATGCATCTCTTCAATAATTTCTTCTTTAGAAACTTCAGATACCTTAATTTACTATTTTTTTCCCTTCACAGAATTGCAAGCTTGATCAGTTTTTCAAAGACAGAAGAATCAGAGCTTGGACCCATCATCTTAGCCTAGACGCAGCTTTGACGTCCAAACCACAACAAAGATTTTAACACTACTGTTTTTTGTTTTAGTTCTATATACAGAAATAAATATAAACAGGTGCTCTACAAAATAAGTATGAAAACCCCTAGTGCTTTCAAAACGAAGGGAGAACAGCTCTTAGAAAGAGGTGTTTGGTATAAGATAAAAGGCAAATCTCAGAACTTGCCTAATACAACACTCAAAATTCTATGAGACAAATTAGGAAACTGAGCCCAATCTTCAAAAGGCTGATCTACATCAACCTTCCAGAGACTGTAGTAAGGGTCAAAGGTGGCAGTGTTAAGAGTTTGGATAGTTTTCATTTATCAAGGAACAAATCAAAGTGAACACAGAAAATTATCTTTCAAATAAGGTAAAGCAAACTAATAGCTGTACAGCTCAAATACTGTGCGTGAATCAAACTTTAAAATTAATGGATCTAACTGTAAAAGGGATGGATGAGTTCTCCATGCTGTGGAACTCCATGGGGGAAGGAAACTTTTTTAAAAGCAAAAAATTTCTTCTGTTACGCCAGTATACCCTGCTCTTTTGTATTTTTATATTTTGTATATAGGATATTTTACAACACAGCACAAGTGTAGTTAAGTTAGGGATGGAAAGAAGCTCCTTTAGTTTTAGGGAGGGATGAAGCGACAGATTCCTGTTCTCAAAGCTGAGGTGGCACTTCTGCTTCTCAAGTTACACACACTGCTAAGCATGTGCTTGGTTGGTAGGAGGAAAAGCACACTTCTTGGCTAGGTCTAGGAGGTAATGAGTGGCATGACACACACAGGACCCGGTGCACAGAAGAGAGGAGTTTGGTCCCAAAGTATTATTAAAGAGAGACAGAAAAGAAATGGTGGCATCCAGGAAGGGGAGTGCTCAGATCAAGACATTTTTGCTCTAGGAACTATGGTGGTATTGGAGTACACGTATAAAATAAAATTTTCCTGTCATAAGAGACATGGACACAACACAGCAAAATGTTCCCTTGGGGACTGGCCCTATCTCTAAGACAGAAGCTGGTGAAAGGTGAATCCTTCAGAAATAAATAACCAGTAAAACCAGTTGCCATTGAGTTGATTTCAACTCACGGTGACCCCATGTGAGTCAGAAGCAGAAGTGTGCTCCATGGAGTTTTCAATGGCTGATTTTTCACAAGTAGATTGTTGAGCCTTTCTTCAGAGGTGGCTCAGGTTGGATTCAAACTCCCAAGCACCAATGCAGCCAAAAATACTAACCATCTGCATCACCAACACACAACTTTATAATTTTACAACAGAACTGCTGCACAGGATCACAGAAATACTCAAAAACTCTGGCAACACTCAGAGGAAAAACATCTTCTTGGTCCTATAACGTTTCTTGGCTCTCCCTGAGGGCTGGGGAGACTGCATATAGATCATGTGCATGTGACACCTAGAGCTGGGCCGCCTTCTGCCTGTGGTTACAGCTATCACCTCTTTACCACACACACAGGGCTGAAGGTAAGTAAGGATGTGACTGGTATCACAGAAAAAGGCTAAAGTAAACTGTAAGTTTTAAGGACAAGGAGAGTCTTGGGCATTTGGCCCTGTGGCAAGCTCTCTATAGCAAAGGTGGCTATCTACTGCCTGGGGGCTTCAGGCAGGAAGCCCTCTAGCTCATCTGGGCAGGCTTCAGAGATTCTCTAATGGTCTACTTACTCCATTGTAGCACCTCTTCCTCTGTGCCATTACTTGAAAGGGCATGAGAAGTTGACATCCATTCTGAAAATACAGCATTATATTGAAACCAACACCTTCCTTCATTCCTGTTTCAAATTCAACAGAAACAGCTTACTGAGCTTGCAAAGGCCACATTGGAGGATCATAAAGGAGTCAATGCCAGGAAAATGCCAAAGATCTCGAAATGGATACCCTTTCTAACCGTTTGACAGAGTTTAACTCCGTAAGACTGAACATTTAAGGCCAAAAGATGTGGCTAAGGAGGCAGGGGTGGAAAACTGAGAGAAGGTCAAAACGTTAGCTTAAGAGGAAGAATTCTGACTGTAAGCCATCCATGATCCACCATACACATTTCCATCCTGACAATGGTTCCTGCCAGCACTATTTGAGGCACTGCTCCTTCTATCAGAGGCACCAGGCAAGTCCAGTTGTCAACGTTTAAAACACAATCATAGAAAATAGCTACTACAAGGGAGATTAAAAAGCCTCAATCATAGAATGTCTGTTTGGCATTTCCATCAGCTAACAGAATATTCAGAAAGATTAGCATTAGTAATCAAAATTTTCAAAGTCTGATAGATAATAATGCCTTAAACTGTAGCAGAACTATGAACAGCTAATAAAAGCTCACCATGTGGTATTACTGGATTATTGAGACTACAGTCCAAGAGAAAAGATCAAGGTCATTATTGTAAAAAAGCAACAGAAGGGTGTGAAGCCTTTGCTTTTAGCGTCAAATTCTGAACAATTTGAAGATTTCATTTTCTTCCATAAGGTTAAAAATGCATTTGTTGATTTATTTATAGGCAACCACCATCACAGCAGATTATGATAGTCCATTAAGAAGCATCTGCATTTGAATGACTCTATTGAATCACTTATGGGAGTACATAGATCAAGTGGTTGGCCAAAAGACCAATCAATCTGAGAGCCACAGATATGCCTACATATGACTTAACTGGCTCAGTGAACATGGTCCGAAAAAATTTCAGAAGCAATCTCAAAGCAGAAGTGAGCTTCAGGAATTACAGTTACAACCGTTACAACATTCTCCTTTTTCATTTTCTCATTTGGCCAATCTGGACTCTTCTCTTCCAGGATGAGCAAGATGGAGTCAAGAGGAGACATGGACTCACTACTATACTCGAAAGTGTTCAAACCTTTTCATTTTATAGAAACTGAGGCTTGGAGAAGACTGACTTGCTCAAGGTCACAGACTTAGTCCTTAGCATAGCCAGGATCAGAACCAAGGCTGACTCCAGGTCCAGAGCTCATTACCATGCATCATGCCAGGAACATGGGCTTCGTCATCTTAGAGTATAGGTAGCATGCCAGGGCTGAACAAAAGTGGTGCAAAACTCTTGTGGTGACCTTCTGCAGTGATCCTTCTATGGGGATGCACCAGTTTATGAAAAGCTTCCCCCAGATCTCTTCATATTCTTGCTCTCTGATATTAAGCTTTTCCTTCAATATATCATTATTTCTTGGGAGACTAAAGGAGTCATACCCTGATCTGGTTATAATTAAATTACAATATTAGAGATAGGTGTGGTTTGATCAAAGTCTGAAAATAAGACTTCTAAGATGTTCTAGATTTCAGTCACTCAAGAAAAACAGTCTCAATGCAATGAGACACTGGCCTTTCTTCTCTTCCCATCCTCTCTCAAAAGCACCCTGACAGACAATGGAGGTTTAGCTCATGTTTTTTATAACTACATTCTGAAACATCCATTGTACTGTGTTTGAGAAATGAGTTACCACCAAGATCAAATTGCAGTGATGGCACAAGTCACTAAACCACAGTCACACAGGTATCAATATGAAAGAAGCATTTATAAATGTGCCTGAGAATGGTTATAGCAAAACCTACCAGCAAAGTAACCTCCTGTGTCACATTCAAAAAGACACCAACTCTGTCTTAGTTTTTCAAAGGTAATAGGCCTGGGTTGAGGAAACCTTGGTCAAAGGAAGCTGCCTGGTTTGGGCAGGGTAAAGGCAAGACGTGGAAAGAGATATATATAAGCTCTTCCATATTCCGGCAGGGTCTGACACAGAACTTTAAAATCTTCAGAAGCTACTGCTGTGGTACTTCAGTGTGCTTTAAAAACATGGAAATATCCAACAGGCTGGTGGATGAAGGAGGTTTTAGTCTTCTTGCTTTTCAGTGATACCATCTCACATATCCCAGAAAAAGAAAAGTTACAGTCCTGAAAATTCTCACAAAACACTGCATCACAAAGGTCAGGGGCCAACCCCTGAGAGGGCGGATTCAGTTGGCATACTGGGCGTAGAAAGCCACTTTCACTCTCTCGATCTGATGGCACAACTTGATGGCAGGTCCCAACTTCAGCTCCATGCACTCCTGAACGGTAGGAAGAGTCAGCAATAGGAGTGCCTGACCATCAATGTCCTGCCAGAAAGGAAAACCAGGTTAGAGAAGAGACAATGTGCACCAGGAGAAACTGAATTTGTTACATATGCTTGACTGGGGTGCCAAACACCTCAAAGGGCTGCTGCTTTTGCTTCATTCAATTCTGGAGAGCGACTTGGACTGATGATTAGATAATCTTTCCTGTCAACTAAAAATCTTCTGCTTTGCCCTGAGATAATCTTTAAATCTTAAACAAAAAATATTCCCTGAAGTCTTCTAAACACCAAATAATAGCTTAACTTAATAAGTTAAGAATGCCTACCTTGAACATTATGTTCTGAGATCTATCTATATGGGATCAAATTGACAACAGCAACTTGAAAGATTAGATAGGAACCTTAGAGGGCAGTGAGTTTATGTTAATGGAGAAAGAACAGTTCAAAAAAGGAGGATGAGAATGGCTGCACCACTCAAATAATGTAATCAGTGTCACTGAATTGGACATGTAGAAAGTGTTGAATTGGTATATGTTCTGCTATACATATATTCTCAACAACAACAACAACAAAAATGTATTTAAAACAATCTTTTTGCTTACAAAATTTTGCCTACTCTGAAACTGACATACCCACGTTGGAGGGTAAAAAGAGCTGAACAGGTGGCTGCTGCAGGAATTCGTTACCAAGCTTAACGATCATGTATCTTGCGGGGAGAGCCACCCCCAGCCCAGTCTTTCCTGTGTTTGGTGAGTGCTGTGACTTAATTTGAACACTAGAAAAGGTCTCTTTACTAAAAGAAAAAGTTGCCTCACTTCCTTGCCAGAGTCTGACATTTTACCATCAGGATAGGTGAGAAGATGCTAAAGACATATATGCCAACTACGTAACACAGTTTTCCAAAGCAGAAAAACATGCATTTAGGCAAACATACATACCTACATACATGCAAACACACATCTACAAACCCACACACATATATCACTCAGAATAAGGTGTTATTTGTACACAGATCAGCTTCCCCTGTTTTGTCTTATTAAGCTCACTGCTATCTATATACAGCATCACAAAATGAAGACAGTCATTAAGTGACTGTTATGTTGAATTTGTTGCAAGACGGAGAGCACAAAGGCTCACCCCCAAAGATTTTCAGATCATTTCATTGGACATTTCATCTCTGCCTAGCTTGCATTCTATAATAATCTTGTTTATGGATGTACATGCCAACATGTGTCATTTGATTGGATTACTGACTTTAACTGCAACCTTTTCTCTTCGTATACCAAGTTGGTCTTTATATTCCAGAAGAAATAACAGAGGCTCAAAGAGATAGTAGGCCTAAGGTTATGGTAAAGATCAGTGGCAGAATTAAGAGCATATATTAAACTTGTTGTATGCCATCGAGTGGATTCTGACCCACAGCAACCCTATAGGACAGAGGAGAACTGCCCCACAAGGTTTTCAAGGCTAAAATCTTTATAGGAGCAGACTGCTAGATGTTTTCTCCTACGGAACAGCTGGTGGTTTCAAACTGGCAACCTTTAGGTTTGCTGCTGAGTGCATAACCATTGTATTACCAGGGCTCTTTAAATGAAACCAAGTATACCAGAATTTCTACCACTTGGAGAAATATATCAAGGACTACTATAGCCAAAGACTTAATGTACATACAGACAGCCACAAAGATAGGTTATACACCTCAGATATCACCAATGTCTCAGATATTACCTAAAGCATTTCATATAAGTACCCTGTTTTATTTTTTCCAAGTTAATGGCTTATTTAGATGTATTGAAAATATTTAAAGAAAAAGGTCCAAATGTATATAAATGTTAGCTTTGGCAAGAGTAGCATTAAAAACAGCAGAATTTATCAAATGATCAGTTATAAAGCCACCCTGATATGCTAATATTCTCTAATAAGTACAGCAGCAATAAAAATTAAACATTAAGAAATATCAATATAAGTAAAATTTATTATCTTCAAATTGTAGGTGAGCAGTAACCACAATATATATAACAAAAAGCAATGCTTCAACCAAGACTCAAATTTGACCGTTTGAGATCTCTCAAAGCAGAGAGATCAGTCTTATACAAATATTGAAAGGAGATAAACTAATAAAACCATCAATGAATATTTCATGTTATATTTACATAATTTTCTTTTCCAATAGTGCTTTTACATGATATTTTACTTTCTTTTCAGGAAATACTGATAAGGCTGACTGTAGTAAAGGGGAATTGGAGGTATAGAAAAATAAAGTGTTTTGTTCAAAGTTATGAAGCAAACAATGGTATCTACTAGCCTGGGACCTGTTTGCTGACTCCAGTTTCAGAACCAAGTGCACAAATATTGCATCAAAACTGGATAGAGAGGTAAATTTGCACCCAAAGCACAATTAAAAAGAAAAAAACCTATAAAATAAATTTTAAAAAAACAGGCAAAGGGTATAGATCTAGGGACATAAAGTCTTCTCAGCATCATGAGCCTCATAAAAAATACATTGCAGGTAGAAAGTGAGCTGACTTCACAAATCTACGTGTAGTGTCTTAAACATCATACTCAGAGAAATAAATAGAACAGGACAGAATACACTGAACCTTATTTTAGAAGATGAAAACTTATTTTTAGAGATAGAAATGAAGGCCCAGAAAACTAGCCAATCTAACCAAGATCCCATGGCTAGAGATAGCATTGCAACTAGAATCATGCTTTTCTGATACTAAACCTTGGGAAGAAAATCATACCTCAACTCCTAACATCTACCCTTAGTCATGATGACCATCCTTGGACATACAGATTTAATTATAACTGAAAATCAGCCCTAAAACGATTTATATAACCTTTTGTCTACAGACAAATTCAGTTAAATTGGCTTCTATGTACTCTATGTTCAAGTACAAGAAATCATCCATTTAATCATTCAACAAACATCAAACATTTACTAAGAACCAAGAACTCTGATGGCCATGAGGGCTATCACACTGAACAGTGCAGAGATTCCATTCCAAGTCACTCTAGGAATCTGAAGGGAGGTACATAAGTAAATAGATTATTATTATATAGGGAGATGAATATTACCACAAGAATATAGACACAGAACTATGGAACCCATATGTAATATAGGATCTATATGTAAGGGGGCAACCAAGGAGTCAGAAGACTTCAGAGATCAGGGCACGTCTAAATAGACACCTAAGAGACCAGCAGAATTATTAAGGCAAAGATGGATTTAAGGAACACAAGTAGTTCACTCAAACATAGAATTCAAAGACACTAAAAAGAAAATCATGATGGGCCCAGAGAGCTGTGTTTAGAAATCTGGATTTATTCTGAGGTATGTAAGAAGTCATTACCCACTGCACTCAAGTCAAATCTGACTCATATCAACTCTGCAGGGCAGAGGTGAACTATAGCCCCATCCCCTATAGGGTTTCCAAGGCTTAAAATGGATATCAGAAGAGACTCTGAAACTTGCTCTTGAATGGAGAGTAGCTAAAGCAAATGGAAGGAATGATGAAATAAAAGACCTGAACAGAAGATTTCAAAGGGGAGCATGAAAAGACAAAGTAAAGTATTAGAATGAAATGTGCAAAGATGTAGAGTTAGGAAGTCAAAAGAGAAGAAGATGGTTGGAATTTCTCAAACTGAAAGAACTGAAGAAAAAAGTCAAGCCTCAAGTTGCAACACTGAAGGATTCTATGCGCAAAATAATGAACGATGCAGGAAGCATCAATAGAAGATGGAAGGAATTCATAGAGACACCGTACCAAAAAGAACTGGTTTACATTCAACCATTTCAGGAGGTTGAGTACGATCAAGAATCAATGGCATTGAAGGAAGGAGTTCAAGCTGTAGTGAAAGAATTGGCAAAAAACAAGACTCTAAGAATTGACAGCATTGTTGAGATATTTCAACAAATGGATGCAGTGCTGGAGATGTTCACCTGTTTATGCTAAGAAATTTAGAAGACAGCTACCGGCCAACCGCCTAGAAGACATCCTTATTTGTGCCCATTCCAAAGATGGTGATCCAAAAGAAGTCAAAAATTGTCAAGCAATATCATTAATATCACATACAAGTGAAATTTTGCTGATGATAATTCAAAAAAGGTTGTAGCAGTATACTGACAGGGAACTGCCAGAAATTTAAGCCAGATTCAGAAGACGACATGGAATTAAGAATATCATTGCTGATGTCAGATGGAACTTGGCTGAAAACAAAGAATACCAGAAAGACGTTGTGATAGTTGGAGCTGTGTGTCAACTTGGCTGGACTCCAGTTCTGTGTGGTTGTTCCCATGATGGGATCAGATGACTGAGTTCTGAGTGGCCAGTCTGCCCAAGGGGAGTTTCCCTAGGGGTGTGGGCTGCTTGCAATGATATCCAAGGACAATCTGGAAGAACGGCATTCCTTAAGGAATTGGAACCCTGGTGTGCGAACTACAGACTTCCCTGAGTGAGTGGCCCACCGCTCGGCCTGAAGATCTCGGATTCATCTTTTGTTGGAATCAACAACAAGTGTACTGCATGCCAGCTTGAATCTCTCGGCTCCCCTGTGCTTGCGGAAGCCAAGGCGGCCGCAAGCCCCATCTCCTCCAAAGACGGACTTTTCGGCTTGGACTTGTCGGCTTCTATACGCTTGTGAGCCATTTGCCTAAGATAAATCTCTCTCTCTCTCTCTAAATATATATATATATATACACACACATACTTTGCTGGTTTTTTGTGTTTCTCTAAAGAACCCAATCTAACATTGGTTCTCCAGTTTGATTAATTTTGATAACACTAGCGGCTCTGCATCTGCTAGTAAAGAGAGCCCTATTAATCCGTGGCATGAGGTGGCAAAATTAATATGCAAAATAGCACCACCAAC